GACTTCCCACCTTGGCATTCCAGTCTCCTGTAATGAAAATAATGTCTCTTTTTGGTGTATTATCCAGTAGGTCCTGCAGATCCTCATAGAACTGATCTACTTCTGCTTCTTCAGCAGCTGTGGTTGGGGCGTATATTTGGATCACTGTAATGTTGAAAGGCTTTCCTTGCACTCGAATTGAGATCATTCTGTCATTTTTTGGGTTGTATCCAAGCACCGCTTTAGCGAATTTCTTATTAATTATGAAGGCTACTCCATTCTTCGATGTTCCTCTTGTCCGCAGTAGTAGATCTGGTGGTCATCTGATGTGAAGTGGCCCATTCCAGTCCATTTCAGTTCGCTGACCCCCAGAATGTCTAGTCTTGACATCTCACCAATAACTACATCCAATTTGCCCTGGCTCATAGATCTTACATTCAGGTTCCTATGGTGTGTTGATCTTTAGAGCATCGGATTCGTCGTTCACCTCCAGTACCGTCGGCCGCTAGCCTTCCTTTCGGCTTTGAGCTAGCTGCGTCATCACATCTGGGGCTAGTTGAACTAATCCTCTGCTCCTCCCCAGTAGCATTTTGGCCATCTTCCGACCTGGGAGTCCCATCTTCCAATGGCATACCGACATATCTCTGGTTGTACTGGTCCATTTAGTTTTCTTGGCAAGGATACTGGAGTGGTTTGCCATTGCCTTCCCCAGGGATCACGCTTGGTCTGACCTCTCTGCCACAACCGTCCCGTCTTGGGTGGCCCTTCACGGTTTCGCTCATGACATCATTGAGGTGCTCAAGCTCCAGCGCCCCGACAAGGCGGTGATCCTTTTCTGGAGGCCAGAATCCTGTATCATGGTTTATGTTGTCAGATTTTATGTATAGTTCGCTATGAGGGTTTGTCTACACTGCCCCAACGTAGCAGTGAAGTTACTCTTGAATATCCAGGGACTTCCTATTCTTAATACAGGGTAAGCTAGATTGAACAGTGCTTTGGACAGTGTGTGGACAGTGTGACCAGGTCTGAACGAGAACAGTCCTCTGTCTGCATAGATTGCCACTCCCATGGTTTTTTTTTCTGCACTCATCAGCACAGAGAAAAGGAGATTAATTGGGCCCATGTCACCTTCATAAATGCCAGATAGCTGCAGCGCTCAGGGAGAGCTCCTAGTGTCATGATCACCTGGTGAAGACATCATCAGAGAGCCCTGCAGAACCAGAAAATATGTGGTATAGGTCCATCTTGATTCTGCCCACCTTAATTTAGTTTAAGTTGAAACAAGGTGACATGTACTATGTTTAGTTTGTATGTGCTAATGTAATTACATTTTATTTTCATCTTTAAAAAAAAGAGCTGAAAGCATTAAAGGAGAACTTGTTAAAAATTCTTTCCTCTCATCTTTCTTTTTCTGTTTGTTTAAAATGCAAGTGACAATTTCCTGGAGCTTTCCTTTTGTTGTTACATAAACCCATTAAGTGCCATTTGTCCTCAGCTAATCTCTTCCTTTCTTACTTTTCTCTTTCAAATCAAAAATGATTTCTATTATTTCTCACCTAAAGAAGATGAGTGCATTTCAAATGCAAAATATTAAAATAACCATTGCTAAATGAATGTTTAAATATTGAGTTATTTGACTGCGGCAATGACTTGGTTTTTCAGATATTTAGACTAGGATAACCTATTCATTTTAAACAGAATGAACTGCTGTGTAGAGTACAAGTCAACTAGTCTTGGAAAAATATTCGTGTGTGTGTGTGTGTAGCTCCTCTGGTTAATCGTCCATTTTCAAAACCTTTAGCCTGGAAAATCTTGCAGAGACTTAGTGCCTGGAAGTGTTTTTCCCCAAACCAGTAAACTCAGCACAATGCTCATATAATGGCATTTTTCACTTGATATATAGTATCTTTCTTTTCATAGAATTTTGAGCATCACTTTGCTTGGTTGGGAAACTACTCCAATGGTCCTGTGGCTACTGTCTATTTTGATGTCCCCTTTCTTGGAAACGGGAATGTATAATGAATGTTTCTAGTTTTTGAATGATTGCTTTGATTTCCATATTTTTTGTCAGATTCTAGTTAATTACTCACATATACTGCCTATCCAATGGGACTTTATTAGTGTGTGCCTTTAAGTCATTTCAGACTTATGGAAACCGTAAAGCAAACCTATTTGTTTGGGGAGGGGGGCACTTTGCCTTCCTCTGGGAGTGGGTTTCCCTGGCTGAGCTGGAATTTGAATCTGATCCCCAAAGTTATTGTCCTATGCTCAAACCACTACACTATGCTGCCTCTCTCAATGTAACTTGCTCTACGATAAATATACAACGGTAGGGGTAGGGAATTTTTCTCTATGGGGAAATCATCCAAGAAGCCCAAAGGCCCAAGAGAACTGGGCTGTAGCTCTAAGCAGCCACTCCAGGTATAGAAATCCCAAGACAGAAAAAAAAATGCCACATTGCATTATTTCATTTTTCTTTCTGTGCTGTAATATCATTTCTCTTTCTTTCTCTCCACCTTCTTCTCACTCTTATACACATTGTAAAGGAAAGATTTCTCAAAAGATTGCTCAGGAGAGCAAGAGAAAATTTCAGAAGGCCTTCCATTTCATGATGACTTTGTTTCCTGAAAATTAGGGAGTTCAGGAAATGGATGATATTGGAGGCTTTCTTAAATTAAGCTTCATACTGGGATTTCAGGTTTCATATACCAGCTGTGTAGAATTTTAATATTATTCAATCTCACAATATAATATGCTGCTCAGAATTCTACCTTGCAAAGAGAACAGTGTTAAGCCTTAGAAATCAATAACCACCTCCTGCTCTAAATCTTGGGCTCAGACTTGATTTAGGGTTTAATGATTCTTTCTATTGTTAACCCATCTCTCAGTTTGTTATTAGACAATTATTCCTCTTTGAATTCCTCAGTTGAATACTTTCTTGATTTTGCCTTCTGGTGATGAGTGCTGCTTTCATGAATTTCCTAGGGCATGTACAATAAAACACCTTTATGGCTCACTATTTAGAGATCTATTTTTCCTTTATTTCATCCTTACAATAACAAATATTTTCAAATAATTTCTTAACACGAGTGAAGAATGCAAGGGGTTGTACATTTTTGTTTGTGCTTTGGTGCACAAAGTGCAACAATCTTGTCATAAGTGACCATTTTCTTGATGGGGTTCATTAAAGTGTCATGGGCAAGTAGGTCCATTCCTATTGCAAACAGCACTGCCACTATTGATCTTGCTGGGTGTTCATCACAGTTTTCTTCCTAAACTGTAAATAACGGGATTCCCAAATCATGCAGCCACAACAGTTGTGCTATGGACTATGTAGCCTGAAAAGAATCCTGCATAAACATTATTTTTCAGAGTACTTTCACCAAATTACTGTGAGGAGCTTTTATATTGTCTTTGGTGGAAGCAGGCAGGAAGTTGCTCAAGAATTATAGAAGTCCTTGCATCTGTTCCACTTCACTAGGAACCAAGGCATGCTTCAAATGTCTCAACCAGTCTTCCTCACCTTTATATCCTCCAGATGTTTTTGACTATAATACTTCCCATTCCAGAATACTTCATGCTGGTTGAGGCTCTTGGAATCTGTAGTTCAAAAACATTTGGAAAATACCAGATTTGAAAAGGCAGGCCTTCACCCAATAAGAAAGGAAACAGCAGGGAAAACTTCTAAATTAAAGTTAGAGCATTGTATCACTTTGCACTGTGCCTTAGCACAGGTCAGGATTTGGTACAAATTAAAGAAGAAGCACAGGGAACAAAAGTTTTCTTCTTTTGCAGAAAGTCATTTTAACATGGTTTATTCTTGATTTACAAATGGTGAGGAAAAGATTCTTTTCTTGCAAAGGGCAACATGATTGAAAAGGAATGTGCTGAAAACCAGTGCATTTTCTATTGAATGTCCTTTGGCAAAAAATAAAACTTTTTCACTCATGGGTCCACTGCAGATTAAACATGAAAACTATGGCTTAACTTTGCATGAACGAGGCTTATCAGGAATTAATTTCGCACCCTCCCACCCACCCACCCAAACCTGTAGAGTCACCTCCTATTGCCATATAGAGCAAATCTACATTGGCCTGTAAATCCAAGGCAGGGTTTGTTTATTCTTCCACTATACTGAAGGTCAAAGTAAAATCCTTTGTAAATATCATTTTCATTTCATATATCCTCCATGATATCCTAAAATATTGGCATTCTTGTTTGTTTTTCTTTGTACTCTGAAGCTGCCTCAGTTACAATGTTTCTCATTAAAATAAAAATAAAATTCAATGTGTGTTATGGCTTAAAATGTCAAGAGTAATTAAACTGTATTACCCCAGTTGACAATGTATCTGAAACATTTATATACTGCAGATTTTCAACTAATCCAGATTGTATCCTTAAGTGTTACAGACTCAACTGCTCTTTCGATCTGGGCAACAGGCAGTGTAACTACCCACTTACTGTTGTAATATATACTTTGGCATCATTCAGGAACCAAACTTCTGACATAGTTTCCAGATATTCAGTCACAATCATTACTGTGGTGGATTCAATTCAGAGCTGAAATTATATATTTTTATTTATTCTGCACCATATTTTTTTTCCTGAAGTATATTGAGCAATGAGTACATATTCCATATTTGTTAATTGGAAGCAGGAATGCTGAATCAAGGGGTGAGCTGGCATGATGTGGTAGTATATTCCATATCACCTCTGTTCTTATCTTCCTGACTCTTGTCCTACCATTAGATATAATGAAATGAAAATAATTTTAAAAATAAAATTATTTTGGTCTTTTCTAGATGGGACATTGTACACATTTAAGATCAGCATTAAAAGAAATGGGGTTGAAAGAGTTTCACCCAGTGAGTAGAGTCAATACTGACTGCTTTTATGGGGCAAAAGCTATGAACTCTGAAAGGAGGAAGCCCGAGGAAGCATGCAAGCTTTGTTGCCTTGCAGAGAGTGGATACCAAGTATATTTTGGAGTCACCCAACCATGTTTTTTCCTGCCTCCTCAGGAGATGCCAAGCTACGTTTCAATAATGGCCACACCACTGTCACCTTAGGCAGTCTCTTGGATGACCAGCACTGGCACTCAGTTCTCATTGAGAGATTCAATAAGCAAGTGAACTTCACAGTGGACAAGCACATGCAGCATTTCCGGACGAAGGGAGATTCGGATGACTTGAACATTGATTATGAGGTGCGTCTGGACTTTTGTGCATGAAATGTAGTAAATAGAAACTCTAGGAAATTATTTCAGGGACTTCGCTGTTAGCGTCTACCTTGGCTTTGTCTTCAATAGCAGGAATGGCATCCAGTGGGTTTTCTATAAAGTTCCATTACTGAAATTGTAATTTTCCTTGTTTTCTTAAAAAATAAAAGCTCTGTGGTTTCAGATTCACATTCTGAGTAACAACACATAAGACCTTTTTGCCATACATGCATAATGAATCATAAAAGTTACAGCAACAACTAAATGTAATAATTGTATCCTACAAGCATGCAGTAATTATTATGAGATGTGTCAGGACCTTTATGTAAGAAATGTAATCATTGCAACTCTGGAGAATTATTTCACTGACTCAGCCATTACGATCCACCTTGGCTTCTTAAGAAATTGCAATGATGTCATCCAATGTACAGTAACATTTATGTCATTGGCAATATAAAGAGGACACTGTAGCATAAGTACCCACAATAAGGGAAAGTGTGAATTTAGCTAATCCAATAACCTAGCTTATCTTGATTTCTTTGAACTGCCATTTTTCAGATGCTTTTGGCGTACAACTCCCAGCACCTCTGGTCATTATTTAACATGAGATTTCACCTCAGCATGGATTTACAGACTATCTATGTTTTTTTTTTCTCAAAACACATTCAAGTCTAACATGTTCAACCCTAACTTTGGTCACACAAAGCCTGCACACAAGAAGTGGAGCTGAACATTAAAAAGACTGGTGCTCTCAATCTGCTTCTGTTGATGGGCAAGGTCTACAGTAAGGATGTACTTGTGTTTGAGTGAACATAGTTGCTTGAAGATGTAAAACTTATATATATTCCCACTGGTCATGGTGGCTGTGGAGCTCATGATGCCTAATATGTGTGTGTGCGTACATGCACACATGTGCACACACACACATGTATTAGTATATATCCACAGCCACCATGAAGAGTGGGAATACAAGGATTCTTTCCTATCAATACAGTGAGGTTTTGAATGGAAGGAACAAAACTATATACGCTCATGTTCTCTACACATACAAGACTTGGATGCCTGAACAGGGCTCATGGCAGTCTTAGAGAGATAAGAGTAAGGTAGAATCAATCCCCCCTCTCTCTCATACACACACACCTACTCACAGTGAACACACATGGGAGCAGCTGGCATGTGAGCTGCAATAATAGATGAGTTAAATTGAATGCATGGACAAAGAGTCATGTGAGTATCATTGGCATGGCTGGCAGTGACATCCCACTGCTGCTTCATAAATTTACATCAGGCAGTGTTGTGAAAAGCATTCTAGATATTAATAGCTGCCACACACTGAAGCAGGTGCAGTGTTTAGTGAGGTGTCAACTGTGTCATTTAAACATGGCTCAGAGTCAATGCTAGCATATCTGCTCTTGTCTACGATTAGCCTTCCTTGTTACATGCTGTTTTGGGAAGCTAGAATAATTGGTTCTCTTTTCTCGTGTCTTCCCTTTTAGTCTCAAGAGCATGCTTCATTTTGAGAAGAAGGGTCCCTTGTAAGTTATTGGTATTGTTGGCTCAGGTTTCATCCCACTCCCATTGTTTTAGCCAAGCCAGCAAACCAGAGAAACATCAGAGCATTTTATGTTTGCTTTTGGGATATAGTTTAATTTGAGCATACTTTCAACCTATTTTCTGTCTCTTATACAATACCTATTTTAGGCATGTCTATGATATGCCATAAAACAATATAGCATCCTACAGTATAATATTAGTATAAGTATAAAAATTATATTTTCTTGCATGAAGGCAGAACACCTCCCCTGATAAAAGAGATACACAAAGAATCTGTCCAAGAAACAGTCACAAAGTAGGCCACACATAAATAGTAGAGAAGAAGTCAAAATGTTATATCTAAGCATTGACAAGACATGGTCAAAAGGAATAGGATACAAACAACTTGCGATAGCCTAGCAGGTCTGCAACAGCTAAGTACCTACATGAGGTTAGTTTAAAGGATATTTGTAGAGAAAATATGTCAATTTAAGTGCACATCCATTTCATAAATCATTGTTTGACTTCAGAAAACATATTTACTCCCCTCTTCTAAATTGACTTAAGCTTTGCCCATTTCCTATTATTGTTCCTCTCACTTTCCCCACATCCTAGCTATTTCATCTCCTTCATTGTCTTCTCAGGCTTTAAACTTTACATGGCTATAAGGGCATATAAAACAAGAATATAAAATATGCTCTTAGCTCCAAGAGGTAAATATGATGTTATGGAGACTTTGATGAGCATTTATTATTTCTGTAGTGTAAAGTGGAGGTTTTTAAGGATATATGCACAAGGCTGCAGAACATAATACTTTCAGGACTGCCTTCTTCTGTGAGAAAGACAGGGTATACAATACATCCAATATAATTTATAAATAAAATGAATAAATTGAGCCAAACATTTATCCAAAAATGTGATGATAACATTGATTTGGAAGAACATAGCTACTCTAATAGATCTTACTGTCATGTAGGCATACGTAAGATTGCAACCTGTCATAATACTTCTATAGGAATAATTTGACCTTCCATATGCTGTTGGACTACAGCTCCCATCACACTTTACCATTGTTAGTTATATGAGAAGGCTGCATGATTACCAGCCATGTTTTAGTGTCATTCTAGAGGTTGATATAAATTCAAGGATGAAAAAAATGCCCCAAAATTCTATATTTTTTGCTTTACTATGGTCCCTTCTACACTGTCATATAATCTGGGTTATCAAAGCAAATAATCCACATGATTTGTTTTGAACTGAATTATATGAGTCTACACTGCTATATAATCCAGTATAAAACAGACAAACTGGATTTTATATGGCAGTGTAAAAGGTGCCTATGTCTGAAACTCAACACAATATACTGCATTGAATGGTCTGTTAACTGAGTGATTTATTACTAATGTGATGACCTTCTTTTACTGTATCAACACTTGATTTCATGTTGTTCTATATAAAATGGCACAGAACAGCATTTTTTAACATTCATTTTAACATTAACATTTCAAAAGTAAATAGAGAGTGCCAAAATCAATATTCATTATTTGAAATATGTTAGAATTATTTAATTGCAACTACAATATATGACTGTTTATGTATTATAACAAACTGATGAATCAGATAATAACAGAAGTTTCAGGGATGTGGTTGAGATGAGATCTGGTTTTGTCTTTTCAATCCACTAGTCACTGTGACTTTTACTGTAGCCAATCAGCAGTAGCAACAGGTGTATAAGGTTTTGCTGCTTTTCTCAGATGTCTTGAGCTCTAAGTAAAAGTCTTAGGAACCCCTAATAAAATACCCCCTGCCCAATTTTCTGAGAATGAATATATAACTTCAAACTACATTACACAAGTGAGCTTCATATGCTCAATCTTCCTGCCTGAATTCCGATTTCCAAAGCCCTATTCAGGTGTTCAGAAGACTGTTGAATAAGCAGGCAGAGAAGTAAACCATCTAGCCGAGACTCTTCAGTTATTGCTTTGATTGTTTGAAAACAGATTGTTCTGAAGAAGAAAGTCTCCTACAAATGAAGGGCTTCCATATGAACCAGATTTTGGCATGGGTAAGGACATATTGGTGTTGGTGTTGAAGTGTGCCATCAAACAATTTTGATTTGTGGTGACCCTCTTCCAGGGTCGCCTTGATAAGATTTATTTAGGAGAAGTTTATAATTGCCTGCCTCTTGAGCTGAGACAGAGTGTCATGTCCAGTAAGTTTCATGGCTGAGAAAGGATTCAAATGCTGGCCTCCTGGAATCCTGGTCAAATACTCAAACTGCTACCCCATAAACTTAATTCTCATTGGAAGTCCAAATACTTTTACAATTTTCTTCTCATTGTCAGAAATTTCATGAAATTGACACAATATTTGGGAACTATTCACAGTTTGGGATTTGTTCTGTGCAAAATGGACATTTTTTTGTACAGAAACATCATTTTCTAAACGATTTTTAGCAGAGAAATATTGGAAAATAATATGAACTTTTTCACACAAAAATCCCCACAGACATTTTCTGCATAGAATAGGCTCCTAATTATGGAGTTTCCCATTTGTCCAGAATTCTTGTCAGGAACTTTTGGGAATCCCATTTTCCATCTACCATTCAACTATTTTGAATATTCGTTTAATCCCTAATAGAGAACATTTATGAGTTGAAAGGAAAATGGCTTAGAAAATGGTGTCAGGAGGAACGCTTTGGCTTCCTCGACCATGGCCTGCTTTTCCAGGAGGATGGCCTCCTGGCAAAGGATGGGATGCATCTCACACAAGTAGGAAAACACCTTTTTGCTCACAGACTCGCAAACCTCATTAGGCGCACTTTAAACTAGGTCCGTCGGGGAGGGGGACAACAGCCTTGCGAACAGTATTTTACCCACAGTGTCAGGGAACCACCAGAAGGCTAAACAGAGGGCTGCACAAACACAACAAGGACCAAGTACCGAAAGCACAATAATCCCAAATATACAGCTCAGGGGAAGATCTCGGGGGCTCACATGTCTTTACACTAATGGACAAAGCATGGGAAATAAACAAGACGAACTCAACTTTTAGCACAACACCACAAATATGATGTCATAGGCATGACTGAAACCTGGTGGGATGACTCCTATCGCTGGAATGTAGACATGGAGGGCTATAACCTCTTTCACAGAAACTGAACAAAGGGGAGAGGAGGCAGAGTAGCCTTATATGTCAAAAACTGTTACGCTGCAGAAGAGATGCAAGACAGCAATCCGGGAAACCAGCTTGAAAGCATCTGGATAAGAATCCGGGGAACTGGGTCTCAAAAAGATGTCATTGTAGGCGTCTACTACAGACCTCCAAGCCAGGAGGAAGAACTTGATGAAGTCTTCTGCCAACAGTTGACCAAACAGGCACAGAGAAGAGATGTATTAGTCATGGGTGATTTCAACTATCCAGATATTTGCTGGAAAACAAACTCAGCCAAGAGTACAAAGTCCAACGAATTCCTTGCTTGCCTTGCAGACAATTTCATGGTCCAGAAGGTAGAAGAGGCAACAAGGGGGTCGGCTACTCTTTATCTCATCCTAACAAATGCGGAGGACCTGATCGATGCAGTTGAAGTGATCAGATCCTTAGGGGCAAGTGACCATGTGCTCCTGCAATTTGAGGTACAAAGGAAGACCGAAACTAAGACAAGTCAAACTCGCATTTTGGACTTTAGGAAAGCTGATTTCCGAAAAATGAAGGAAACACTGAGCAGCATTCAGTGGACACAGATACTAAAAGACAAGGGAGTTACGGATGGATGGGAGTTTCTCAAGAGTGAAATACTCAAGGCACAATTGCAAACAGTGCCAACAAAGAGAAAAAAATAGGACAAGTGCAAAGAAGCCAGAATGGATGTCCAAATAACTTCTAACTGCTAAGACACAAAAGAGACATGCACAAGAAGTGGAAAAAGGGAGAAATCACCAAATAAGAATTCAAACAAATAGCCAAAACCTTTAGGGAAAAGGTCCGCAAGGCTAAAGCACAAAACGAGCTCAGGCTTGCAAGGGACATTAAAAACAACAAAAAGAGCTTCTTTTCTTTTGTCAGTAGAAAAAAGAAGAACAAGGAGGCGATAGAGCCTCTTCGAGGAGAAGATGGGGCAATGCTGACAGGGGATAGGGAAAAGACAGAACTGCTTAATGCCTTCTTTGCCTCAATCTTCTTACAAAAAGAAAGTAGGAGTGGATGAGGAATTAGAGGACATCCAACCCCAAATTGGGAAACAAGTCATCCAGGAATACCTGGCCACTCTAAATGAATTGAAGTCCCCTGGGCCAGATCAGCTACACCAAGAGTATTGAAGGAACTAGCAGAAGTCATTTCAGAACCATTGGCAATCATCTTTGAGAGTTCTGGGAGAACGGGAGAAGTTCCAGCAGATTGGAGGAACACCATTGTGGTCCCAATCTTCAAGAAGGGAAAAAAGGATGACCCAAACAATTACCGTCCGGTCAGCCTCACGTCGATACCAGGCAAGATTCTGGAAAAGACTGTTAAGGAAGTGGACTGCAAACACTTAGAAACAAATGCAGTCATCGCTAGTAGTCAACATGGATTTATCAAAAACAAGTCATGCCAGATAATCTGATCTCTTTTTTTGATAGAGTTACAAGCTGGGTAGATGCGGGAAATGCTGTGGATGTAGCGTACCTGGATTTCAGTAAGGCCTTCGACAAGGTCCCTCATGACCTTCTGGCAAACAAACTCATCCAATGTGGGCTAGGCAAAACTACGGTTAGGTGGAGCTGTAATTGGTTAAATGGATGAACCCAGAGGGTGCTCACCAATGCTTCCTCTTCAGCCTGGAAAAAAGTGACAAGTGGAGTGCCGCAGGGTTCCGTCCTGGGCCCGGTCCTGTTCAACATTTTTATTAATGAGTTAGATGAAGGGTTAGAAGGCATGATCATCAAGTTTGCAGCTGACACCAAATTGGGAGGGACAGCCAATACTCCAGAGGACAGGAGCAGGATTCAAAACGATCTTGACAGATTAGAGATGGGCCAAAACTAACAAAATGAAGTCCAACAGTGACAAATGCAAGATACTCCACTTAGGCAGAAAAAACAAAGTACAAAGATACAGAATGGGGGATACCTGTCTCAAGAGCAGTATGTGTGAAAAAGATCTTGGAGTCCTTGTGGACAACAAGTTAAACATGAGCCAACAATGTGATGTGGCGGCAAAAAAAGCCAATGGGATTTTGGCCTGCATCAATAGGAGCATAGTGTCTAGATCTAGGGAAGTAATGCTACCCCTCTATTCTGCTTTGGTTAGACCACACCTGGAATATTGTGTCCAATTCTGGGCACCACAATTGAAGGGAGATATTGACAAGCTGGAATGTGTCCAGAGGAGGGCGACTAAAATGATCAAGGGTCTGGGAGAACAAGCCCTATGAGGAGCGTTTTAAGGAGCTGGGCATGTTTAGCCTAAAGAAGAGAAGGCTGAGAGGAGATATGATAGCCATGTATAAATATGTGAGAGGAAGCCACAGGGAGGAGGGAGTAAGCTTGTTTTCTGCTGCCCTGGAAACTAGGATGCGGAACAATGGCTTCAAACTACAAGAGAGGAGATTCCATCTGAACATGAGGAAGAACTTCCTGACTGTGAGAGCTGTTCAGCAGTGGAACTCTCTGCCCTGGAGTGTGGTGGAGGCTCCCTCTTTGGAAGCTTTTAAACAGAGGCTGGATGGACATCTGTCAGAGGTGCTTTGAATGCAATATTCCTGCTTCTTGGCAGGGGGTTGGACTGGATGGCCCATGAGGTCTCTTCCAACTCTTTGATTCTATGATTCTATGAATACTACTGAACTTTCACATGATCAAAAACTATGACTTTCTCGCATTTGGATTCAATTTTCCCCCCACTAAATCCATTTTGAAAAAAAAATGTTTTTTTCTCACCTGGCAAGGCACCAGTTTCAAAACATGATTTGCCAATCTAGTAAGTATACATACAGTTTGGCAGTTCAGGTTATATGGCATACTATGCCTTAACGATAGTAAAACCATGGTTTACCATGAATCAGAAGGCCTTAAATAGATGGACAGATAGGTTAGTGCACAGGAAACCATAAAGAAATCTAAAGATCAGCCATGTAAGAATTAGACAAGAGGATACTACACCATATAATTAATACAGTTTAATACCACTTTGCAAGAGTGTTGGCCTTCTGTGCTAAAGAGTGCTGGTGTTTGATCATGCTACAACTCCCCTGATTCCATGGTATTCAGATATGGCACTTAAAATGGTGTCAAACTGCATTAATTCAACAGTATAGATGCATCCATAGTCAAGCACACATTCCATTGAATTTGAGCATGTATGACCTTTTAGTGGGTAGTAACCTTGATTCATTTTAGTCTACTGATGCTTGAAATTCAGTGTAAACTTTTCTGGCTCACAATTACTGGAATGAGGTGCAGATAGGAATTTAGCTACTTATCAGATTTTGTCCTTACTGGATGTTCCACACAGTTATTTGTTCAGTGAACCAATTGGTCAGGCAGAAAAGGTGAGGTGACAATGAAAGTGGATGCAGGGGGGACAGATCATGCTCAAGATCACTGAGGTCTTGTCTGCACTGCCAAAACAAAATCTGCTTGGCGCCACATTTTCCCGATTCTACTTTGATCCTGTTAACATCACACAAATCACACACATCATACTGACATAACTATAACTGCCTACGCATTTGCCCCTGCTGAATTCCCTTCCCTATTAGGGAACAGTTCACATTATTTTTGGCCACACTGCAATGGTAACTCCTCTCTTTTTCCCATTATACTTTTGAATAAATGTATTCTTTGTTAAGCAGATATGCCTTCATGCTAATATATTGACATACAAGTATCTGCCCATATAAACTTTAAATAATAATAACAACAAAAATTAATTTGGGAAGAATCACTTTCTGGTGCGAATGGTCACATCCCACCCACCAGTTCCACCCATCACTGACTCCTCTCCCTAATGACAGGGCAAAGTGATACCCCCGATAGGGAAAGCCACATGCTTAAAAGTAAGGATTTTCTGTTAAATCTCAAAGTAAAGAACAACCTTTTGAAACAGTTTAAAGCCCAAACACACACATTGCAAACACATTATTACAGACACTGAGCATCAAGATTACAGCCACTATGAAGTGAATGCATTTTTTTTAGTTTGTGTAGACAAGTCCTAAATGAGTTTTATACTGATGAAAGCCAAATGAGGTGATCTCTTTCTTGTTACATTGATTATCTCCCTTCTCTTTCTATCATTTTAATCCTGAGCCTATTATGAATCGTTTTATACTTAATGTTTCTCTCAGCTGGTCTCAGAACTTCTTGGGGGAGGGAGTTAAAAGAGGAAAACAATTTCCCCCATTTTCACTGGTTATTCCCTCTCCCTACTTCCCATTTCATAAAGGAGGGTTGTTTCCATGATGGCGCCATAGGTGGGGGAAATAACAGGGAAACAGGGGGGAATTTTTTAAATGGACGTGCCTTCTCAGTGTAGCACCCCCTCCCCTTTTTGGCCTCCACCCAGTGGAACAGTACCATATAATGACATTTATTTTAGTACACTTAGGAGATTAAAAACTAAGGTAAGGGGGAAAAACAATTACTTTGGTAATTAATTGTTTTTACTGATAATTAAAGAAACTGTTTTTTTTCCAATACTGCATCAGTATAATTGATATTTATTGCCCTGGGTTTTTGAACCCCACTAAAGAATCCCAGAACTGGCGACTTTTGTAAAATGGAAAGAAAAGAGCCAAAGTAGTAGATTGTTGGAGAAGAAGACTAATGAGTCCTAGAAAAATAATTGCTGTTTAAATGTAATTATTCCTCTTGAAAACAAGTTTTATTCAGTTGCCAAACTATATATGTGTATACATAAGCAATATATAACATGATGATACTTTAAATAAACATTGGTGGTCTTTGTTCACACACACACACAGAGAGAGATATCGAATGAGAGAGAGAACTGAATTTACCATTAAAGGATTCTGGTACTTACAGTCCAAAAAGTACCTTGTCAAAGATCTGAGCTTGGGTGGCAGTACAAAGTCCTTCTGCATTTCATTCAGCCCTCCATTTTGATAATAACATTTCAACTTTACAGTGGCCTGCTTCAGAATCAGAAGACCCTGTTATTCTATGTGTTTTCTTTACAGTTTGTCTTTTTCATACCTACAAACATGTTTGTTTAGTTTCATTTTCCCATTAATGTTATGGCTTGGAAAGAGTGTTGGAGGTTTGATCATTTGATTTAAAGTGTTCAATTCTTCTCCCAAAGCTCAGTTTTGGAGGAATCCCAGTCCCTGGAAAACCAGGAACTTTTCTGAAGAAAAATTTCCATGGCTGTATTGAGAACCTTTATTACAATGGAGTCAACATCATTGACCTGGCAAAAAGACGGAAGCCACAAATCTACACTGTGGTAAGAATGCAATGCATATTTGTTCTTTTCTTGAAAGTGCTGCACACTTTTTGGACTTTTGCTGCACATTTTGATAAGCATTCTGATTCCTGTTTGAATTTTGTACACACTTTAAAAAATCCAAATTCACATGAAAACTAGAAAGAATGATATTGTTCTTGAAACTGTGTAAAAATTATAGCAAAAAGAGAGATAGATTGATTCAGTCCTATTGTTTTGCATGTTGCTGTTTTAGAAAAAAATTGGCCCACAACACTGGTCATGGAAAGCGATTGTGTCACTTACAGCTTTGGGTGTTTTCAATCATCTGGATCTTTGATATGTTGTGTGTTGAAACCAGGGTATATGAGCAGTGTATGTTAGCCAAAACTCCTTAGAAATAAAATCTGCTCAAGCAGCTTTGAAATATCAGCTATAAGCAGTGCTTTTCCTCATGCCTTAAAGCAGAAATATATAACATCCAAGGAAAGTGGACTGGGAAGGAGACAGCCCTTAGTCAAGAACCTCTAACAGATGTTTCATCTTGTAGCGATTGGTCCCTGGAAATGCTCTTTGATGGTTGGTGAATCAGGCCAGTTGGTTCCTCCTTTGTTACATTGTTTTTGGAGAAAAATTCTGACAGGGGCACTTGATTCTTTAGCTGATGGATGAGGTAATTTCAATCAGTAAATCTGCTCTGGTTTCAAGGTAGATGTTAGAGGTGTCATTGGAGTATGGTTTGAAGATTTATAAAAAAAACACTAATGAAACTAGAGGACTGAAGGAGAGCTCTTATATATAGTATGATACATGGAACAACATGGAATGATGCACTTAACATATCTTTGAGGGGGCAGGCAGGAACTGAATTTTAAATATTTTTAATTTTGAATATATCTTTCAGTATGACTGTAAGTGTGGGAGAGGAGGAAAGGATTAGTTTAGCAAAGATTTCAAGGGGAAGTGTATAAGTAGGACTAAAATAGCCTATTATATGTAAAGTCATATATATATATAACAATGTAAAATTGAATACTTAAAATAAGTGGTAAAAATCGATTGAAACATTTAATCCTACTCCTAAATTGATCGTGCTTTCTCCTTGGCAATGCATGAGATTTCAGGGCAGACAAACTTCTGTTTTTTTCCTTTGTGGGGATTGTTATTTCTGCATTACAGTTGTAACATACATTAATTTTAGGATTGTACACTGGGCTACTGTAGTATCAATCAATCAATGATTTATTACGGTCTTTGACCAGCACAGTATAAAATGGGGCACAGGTGCCCAAGGAAGAGAATCGCAGTTCCCAAGTAGGTCAGATAAAAAGCAGATTAAAAACACATTATAAAAGAGACAGATTAAAAAGCAGACTAAACTTACAGTTTAAAGTGCATGTATGAATCTAAAACAGGGGGGCGGCTAATAACAAATATCAGACAACTGGGAGGCTCTAAAAAGGGATGAGAGGGGAGCATTTCTTTCATTACAAATCGTTCTAACTATATTCCCGGCAGGAAGTTGCCTGGTGGAGTCGGTCATCAGCCGTCTAATGTTGATTGCTGCTGCACAGAACTTGGCAACACTGTAGGTTGTCGCAGAGCAAGAGTCCGAGAGCAACAGGGAGGTGTAATCTTTCAGTGCGCCCTGGATGTTTTAAAAGCCATGGAGTGATGAAATTAGCTCTAATGTCTCTATAGAATACACATTGGAGGAGCACATGTTCAGTTGTTTCAATGTAGCCAGACTCCCAAAGTCTCTCCTGGGCAGTTGTCTTCCGGTATCTCCCCTCCAGTACTGCCGATGGAAGGGCATGGCATCTTGCCAATGTGAAAGCTGTAGTATCTCTATGGCTAGAACCATAGCTGAAAAGACTTCTTTAGACTACAACTTCTCAAATCCAATGCTAGGAGTGGAATTTGGGAAGCTGTAGTTAAGAACAGTTTCCAAGCTGTAGAGGGAACATTTATATAAACAATTACATATCTTTAAAGCTTGTGAACATTTTAGTTGACCTAATATTTTCTCCCATTCAAATTCTTTTGTAAAAGAAAAAAAAAACATAATATAAAAAGGTATGTGGATTTCTCAGAGTGAAACACAGCATGTACATTGTATCTATTCTTTCAAATTACCACTCTGTCTTTTCAGTTCCTCTTTAATTTTCTGTTCAATAAAGGCTGCTGTATATTTTAGAACAAAAATTCTCTTGTTACTGTTCATATTCCCCCAGTTTTTTTCCATTTTTCTCAAGACATGCTTTGGCTTGTGTAACCTGAGGCTCTATCTAGCTACCCCATTAATTTGGCACTGGAAAGCCACTGATGCACCACTGTCCTAGTACATTAGGAAACATTGGGTGGTATTGTGACAAGCTAGAGAAAAAATTGCACAGTGACCCATGAAAAGTTACCGTCATAGTCCATTTGTTAGTGTTAGAAGTGCCAAAGCAGAGTAACATTGGCCATTATATGTGGTTGACCTAAAGCTTGCTGGTTTATTGCCTCATTTGACACCATCTTCAAGATAGTGAAGTCCATGGAAAGCAGAATTGGGAAAAGCATAGCCTTCTGACTGCATGTGCCCCTCCTTAAAATGTTTTTTTTTTTGCTCACAGCATCTCTAGAATCTCCAGACCAACTGATTTATTCCCTGAAAAAGAGAGATCAATTGTTGCTCATGGAAGCTTTTAATATAGTAATGGGAATTTTAAATGTTACAAGGCTTCCCTCCAGGTCAAGAATCTGTTTTTCCCCCAACATAGATTAACCTTGGAGTAAGGCTTTATTAAGGTGACCTTGCCCTAAGTTAACCCAGATCCGCTCCGTGTGGCATTTAAACACTCTGGGGGTGATCCATTTCTACACCGACCTAAGTAGTCAATGTAGAAACAACCACAGAAAGAAGAGTCACCCTCAAATCTGCACAGTTGCTACCCCTAGCCTATAGTCAAGGTTCATTAGCAATATTTGAGTGCTCTTTGAGAAAGGGGATGAGTAACAGGACTCCGCCCTCCTAATTTCCCAATCTTCATCCTTTTGGTTGTAAAAATAAATAAAAAAGAAATAGCAACTGCATTTGGCTAAATGGGATGGCAGAGTTCCTTAAGGATGGAAAACCTGATAAAGCATCTTCAAATCACATGGAATTATATAATTGCAATCCCTTGTATACAGCTACAGGTGTTTTTTAAATTTTCCCTAGTAACTTGAGGAATGAGTGAATGGTGTTGGCAAGATTTGATCACATGTCCCTATCTACCTCTATTTACATAGAGAAAGAATGCCTGGATAGGGCTTATCTAAGGTGCTAATAATGACACTTAGTTCAGCATAGCAAAGAAGACAACCAATGTTAGTATTGTTTGCCCTGCAAAATGGAAATGCAGTGAAATCATTCTTAATTGCATGGTCTGCAATGTAATAAGTTGAATGGGCCAACAGAAACCAGCATAGGCTGAAATCTCACCTGCCTGGGCCTCTGGACCCAGAACTGCTGAAACAATGCTGCTGATCCTATAAGTTAGAACTCCCTGGAGAAGCCTCAGGGAAGCACACTTAGCTTTAATCATACTTCTTTGCAAACCTGCATAATGAGTCCCTGATAAGTTCAGGCACTCATTATGCACTACTTACAGAGCGACTATTTTAAGGTTGGAAGAGCTTGGAAACCTTTATCATATGAAGTAACGGGAATACAAGAGCCAAAGTTTCCTATTTCATGATGACTAAATCCACCCTACATAAACACACACAGAGACCCCTGTACATAAAATCATAACAATAGGCAGATAGACCTGCAGGGATACAGGTTCTATCACATAACCTGTGAAAAAACAGTGTGTTCTTCCAATTGATAGCAAATTCATATTTTAACCCTATCCTGCTTCTGCGAATAATAAGTACCTGAATAGATAGGACGAAGTCAAACTCCATAAATTCCACTACCTTCTTCAGTCTATGAAATGAATAGGCAAAATCTGAATTTGAGAATTGTTTCATTTATGTAGCCCTCCTTTGCTTATTTACACACACACATACATACTGTATTTTTATGATTCCTAGAAGAACATACAAATAGCTGACCACCTAAAGACATGCATGGAAGAAAAAGAGATACATCCATACCCCCCCCCCCCCAATTCACATATGAAGAAACAATAGAGTGGGGTCAAAATGGCCAAAATTATATTAAGGAGGAACAACACACAAGCTATAAGAGGATGAAGCAGTTTGTCTTAGTCTGAGTTTCCTGGAAAGGAAACGATTCTTGGGTTGCTGTGAGTTTTTCAGGCTGTATGGCCATGTTGCAGTAGCATTCTCTCCTGACATTTCTCCTTCATCCATGGCAAGCTTCCTCAGAGGTTTGTTCAGAGGTCTGTTGGAAGTGAGGCAAGTGAAGAGTGTATTTGTGTAGATCTATACATCTATCTGTGGAATGTCCAAGGTCCATACAGCCTGAAAAACTCACAACCCAGTTATTCCGACCATGAAAGCCTTTGGCAACACAAAAAGTTTATTCTCTCCCTTTTGGGAAGTTAATTGAGCACAAGCTATTTTTTGTACTTGAACTCAATTTGCAGTAACTGAAGTAGGCAAAGGGCATAGGGGAGACTGGGGGAGGAAAAAACTGGAGTGTTTTTAAAATGATGTTGAAAAAATGGGACAAGAGAGGATTAATTGGGACTGTTTCTGATGAATTGGAACAGGGTATAAGGATGGTGAAGGATTTAAGTTCAGCAATTCCTGGCTGTTCTTCTGCTTTAGGGGCCAGAACAATGGAGTTTGGATTTTATAGAGAAGATTTCTATTCTAGAGAATATGTATTTTCCAGATGCTACATGACATTTGCCCTCCCTATTTTGACGGTAGCCTCTGTACAACTTATTACATTTTTAAAGTAACTTGTAGGCAAAGGAGACTGCTGTTGTTCTGCCTCCCCCAAAGCCCAAAGCTGATGCATACACATTCACACAGCAGCCCTAGTCCTTGTGAGGAGATTGGCAGCAGCTATGGAGATT